GTCCTTGAGAAAAAATATTTAAATATTCCCCGTAAAACTTCTTTTGGTCCATAAAAAATTGTTTAGAAATCAAGGATAAAATGTCGTTTGTATTGAAAAAAAATTTTAACAATACACTTTCATAGCAAAGAATTTCCTTGAGAAAAAATCCTTTAATAAACCGCATTAAATTTTTTGAAAAAAATATATGAAAAGGCCTTTTGGTCCTTGAGAACAAATTATTTTATAATCCACGTTTAAATTTCAGATAGTGCTTAATTTTGGGCCCTGTTTGTATGTAGGTTCTTAAAAAAATGTTACAAAATCTGCTTTTAAGGTCCCTTGGTCCTTGAGATTTTTTCTAAATCCTCGTTTAAATCTCTGTTCATCCTTAAAAAAAAAATAATCTTTTAAAATTCGCGTTTTAAGGTCTGTCGTTCCCTGATGAATAAATCTTTAAAAAACCATGTTTGTAGGTCCTTGAAAAAATCTTTAAAAATCTACAGTCCTTGAAAGAAAATTCTTTGAATAGACTGTTGGTCTTTGGTTGAGAAAAAATTTAACATAATCCTCCTTTAAGGATCTATTGATACTTTAGGTCGGTTGTTTCTTGAAAAAATGACTTTGGAAGATCTGTCTGTTTATGAGACAAATACTCTTTAAAGGTCCACTCTTGAAGCTTTTTTGCTTCCCTTGGAAAACATCTTAAAAAATCCAGGATAAATTGTATTTTAGTCCTTGAGCATAACATTTTCTTACAATCCAAGTTCAGGTACCCGATAGTATTTTAAAAAGTCTGGGTTAAAAAGTCCGAGATTTCTTAAGAAAAAATCCTCTTTTTAAGAACTGGGAACTTGGAAAAAAGTTCCTAAAAAATCTACCTGTAAAAATGCTGCTGATCAGGTCGGTAAAGGTCGGTGTTTGAAGCTCTTTTGGTAACCTTAGAAAAAAAATCGGTGAAAATCCCCGAATAATGGTATTTTAGTCCTTGAAAAAATATCTTCTAAAATTAATGTTCAGAGGTCTGTTGGTAATCGAGAAAAAAGTCCGAGAGGTCATCAGAAAATAAAACACTTTTTTAAAGAACTGGGAACTTTGGAAAAATCCTTAAAAAATCCAGATTCTGTTGATCATTGGGAAAAAATCTGTAAAAGCCGAGATTAAATGCCTGTTGGTCCTTCAAAAAAATCTTCTGCCTGTGGGAAAAAATCTTATGTAATACTCGTTTCAACAATGTTTAAAAAATAAAGGTAAACAGAGGATGGTTTGGGTTGGTTGGGTTCTTGAGACAAACGATCTTTAAAAATCCACGTTTGAAGTTCTTTTGGTCATCTTAGAAAAAATTATTTAAAAATACCCAATTAATGGTATTTTAGTCCTTGAAAAAATGACTTCTAAAATTAATGTTCAGAGGTCTGTTGGAAACCGAGAAAAAAGTTCGAGACTCCTTTAGAAACAAAAAATCCTCCATTAAAGAAATGGGGACATGGTAAAAACGAAGTTCTTAAAAAATCCACTTGTAAAGATTTCCTGATCTTTGAGAAAAAAAATCTCTAAATTCCGCGAATAAATGTCTATTGGTCTTTCAAAAAATATTCTTTAAATATCGATGTTAAAAGGTCTGCCTGGGGAAAAAAAATCTTATGTAATACTCGTTTCAACAATATTTGAAAAATAAAGGTAAAAAGGTCTGTAGTTTTTGGAAAAAATTCGCGTTGGAAGATCTGTGGGTTCTTTAGACAAATGATATTTAAAGATCCAATTTTAAAGATTTTTGCTTCCTTTAAAAATCCAGGATAATGGTATTTAGTTCTCAAAAAAAAAAAAAAAAAACAAAAAAAAAAAAAAAACATTCTCTTACAATCCAAGCTCAGGGGTCTATTGGTACCCGAGAAAATTTTAAAAAGTCCAAATGGGCCATGAGATAAAAATCCTCTTTGACAAAAAACTGGAAATTTTGGGGGAAAAAAAGCTCTTAAAAAATCCACATTTAAAGGTCTGTTGGTCATTGGGAAAAAAATTCTTTAAAAGCCGCGATTAAATGTCCGTTGGTACCTGAAAAAATATTCTTTAAAATTATAATTTTCAATGTCAGCTTGTCCTTAAGAAAAAAATCTTAAATTTGATTTTGTAATCTCAAATAATTTCCTCAATTTTGTTTTTTTTTTGGTAATAATTATATTTATTTTTTTTATTTTATTTTTATATTTTTTATTTATATATAACACTATAATACAGTTGTTTTTGTTTGTTTGTTCGGATAGAAAAATAATATATATATATAAAATAATATTTTTTTTATAAAAATATATTATTCAAATTTCTTTTTAACAAATTGTTTTGTGTGCACAAGAGGTGGAGAGGAGATGTAGACATTGAAGAAAGACAGGAAAATATAGATACGAATTGGAAAGCAGCAAAAAAGTTACAAAACTTTCGGTTTTCTTTTTTTGAGAAATACAGTTACATTATCACAGTTTTATGTACAAAAACAAATTAAGAATGTTTCAATAATTGTGGTAGAGAAATATAAAGAAATTATTTTTTGTAAGAAAAGAAAGAGAGAGAGAGGGAGTTGGAGAGAGAGATATTAAGTAATAGAGAGGGAGAAAGAGTATTATAGAGAGAGTATATTATAACTTCGTTGTGGTAATTAATTTGTCTTACTATGTGGTTCGTTTTCTTTTGTGTAATTTAGGCCTTAATAATAATTCAAAACATTTAATAATAATTATTATCATTATAAAAAAACTTGTTAAATTTCTATGTATATATAAAAAAAAACGAAAAACAAGGCAAGTGCGGTTTTTTTTAATGTTACATTTTTAACAAATAAAGATAGACAGTATTTTAAGAAAAAAAAAAAAAAAAAAAAACGCAGAAGGAGCGGGGAAAATTACATTGCAATTGTTGTTTAAATTAAACTAAATTTAATAAAAAAAGTAAAACAAAATTAAAACAGGACAAAACAAATGCCATTAATTTGCATTGTTTTTGTTTTTTTTTTCTTCTTGTTGAAAGAAATTAAAAAAAATAATAAAAAAAAGGTTACTACATGCTAGGCATTACTACATATAATAGGGTGGTGGTGGTGGTAGAAGGGGGGGTAGTTGTAGTAGGGATTTTTAAGAATCGTATTTATATGTATGTTTGTATGTTATGTGTAGAACTAAATTTTATAGTACATATGTACAGACATATGTTTTGGGCTCACATCATCATGGGAATTTCGAAGCGAAATCAAATCCGCCGATTTTCCAGGTGGAAGAGAGCGAAAATTACAATTTTATTATAATTTCATGGGGAATGGGGAGTCAGGAGATTTGGGTTGGGCTTGAAGTTTTATTCAGAAGGATAGATATGGTCTAGAGATAGAAGTCCTATAAATATACTCATAGAATATCAATGGAGGTTCCAGTGTGATGCCAAGATCTTTTCAGATTTAGAAATAGAAAAAATCTTTCTCATTGGATTGATCCTAGTATGGCGGGCCAATATGGGAGACCAATAGGTCTTCTTATGAGAGACTAATAGGTCCTCATAGAATATAAATGGAGGTTCCATTGGGATGCCAAGAGATTTTCAGATTTAGAAATACAAAAGCCTCTCTCATTGAATTGATCCTTGTATGGCGTGTCAATAGGGGAGACCAATAAGCCTTCTTACGGGAGACCAAAAAGTCCTCTTATGGAAGACCAATTAGTCCTCATGTAGAAGGTCAATTGGCTCCCTTATGGGAGACCTTTTGGCCTTTTAATGAGAGGTCAAAAAGTGCTCCTAATGGAGGCTATTTTAGAAAGACAAAAAGTAGAATAATCTGGCATGAAAACTCAGGTTTAGAAATACAAAAGTCAAACGGGTTCTCTTATGGGATACCAATAGGTCCACTTATGGGAGACCAATAGATCCACTTATGGAAGACGAATAGGTCCTCTATTAGAAAGCCAATTAGTCCCAATTGGGCCTTCTCATGGGAGACCAATAGGTCTTCTTATGGAAGACGAATAGGTTCTCCAATGGAACGCCAATTAGACATCATATGCAAGGCAAATTGGTCCTCTTATGGAAGGTAAACTGGGCCCCTTATAAGAGATCATTAGGCCCCTTTTATGAGAGGCGAAAAGGTGATCTTATGGGAGCCCAATAGGACCTACTTTAAAAAGACAAAAAGTAAAATAACCTGGCATACAATACAAAAAACTAACGGGTTCTCTTATGGGAGACCAATAGGTCCTCTTATGGGAGACCAATAGGTCCTCTAATGGGGGACCAATAGGTCTTCTTATGGAAGGTCAATTAGTCCTCATATTGATGGAAAATTGGTTCTCTTATAGAAGGTCAATTGGCTCACTTATGAGAGACCATTAGGCCCTTTTATGAGAGGTCAAAAGGTGCTCTTAAGGGAGGACAATAGGACCTCCTCTAAAAAGACAAAAAGTAAAATAACCTGGCATGAAAACATTCCAAAACTGGTTTGTATGTCAGTAGGTTTTCAAGTTTAGAAATACAAAGGTCCAACAGGTCCTCGCATGGGAGACCAATAGGAAGGTCAATTAGCCATCACGCCTCAAATAGTGAAGTTTAAAAATACAAAAATCCAACGGGTCCTCTTATGGAAGACCAAAAGGTCTTCCTATGTAAGACCAATAGGTCAGTTGGCCCCCTTATGGGAGACCAGTAGGGCATTTTATGAGAGGCGGAAAGTTCTTAGGGAAGGCTAAAAGGGCCTGTTTTAGTAAGACAAAAAGTCCCTTTATGGGAAACCAATAGGTCCTTATATGGAAGGCAAATACGTCCCCTTATGGAAGGCCAATTGGGCCCCTTATGGAAGACCATTAGGCCCTTTTTTGAGAGGCGAAAAGGTGCTCTTAAGAGAGGCTAAAAAGGGCCTATTTTAGAAAGACCAAAAGTAGAATAATCTGGCTTCACAACCTCTTAAGATTTAAAAACTGGGTTAACGGGAGACCATTAGGCCCTTTTATGACAGGTGAAAAGGTGTTCTTAAGAGAGGCTAAAAAGGGCCTATTTCAGAAAGACAAAAAAGTAGAATAATCTGGCATCACAACCCCTTATGATTTCAAAACCGAGTCAACACTGAAGATTTAAATTTTACTTCTTCAAGAAAGCCCTTAACATTTCCCACAAGGCCCCTTCAGGACTTCTTATAGACCACAATAACATAATCTAAAAACTGGTTGGCAATATCTGAAGAAAAGTAATGGACCCATATTTCAAGACTCCCTATTTAAATTCCAATTTTGAGTATTATTCAATAGAAAAAAAATGGGGCAGTGTTGGAGCTCAATAGGATCTCATAAAAAGATCCTTATTTTAAAAATTTGAACATTATTGATATTTTTTTGTAAATTTAGGGATTCATAAAAATCCAAAAAATTCAAAATTGTGTCAAAAACACCAAAAGATCTTTGCAAAAAAATCTTTTGGTCCAAGAGGGAACTTATATGAAAATGTGTGTTATATGTTCGTGTGTGTGTGTTCGAATGAATGTATGTATATGTGTTAGAATGTCATGTTAATTTTTTTTTACAAAAAAAAACAATTTTCTCTCGCTCTCTCTATACAACTCTCTTAAGTCAACAATTTTAGGCTGGCGCATCGGTGGGCACATGACAACCCTCAACATTTTCCGGCCAATCGCAAACATTCTCCTGTGGATTAAAGACCAAATTTGCTGGACATGGCATATGGTGTTTACGTTCACCCTCACACATATAGTAGTGGGTGCAATCATTCCAATCTTTGTGGTAGCTAATGTGGCCATCCTCCTCGGCACAGGTTACCTCGTGGGCTGGAGAAAAAAAAAAAAAAAATATTTATTTTTGTATTTTTTTTCTTTAATAAAAAATTATGGACTTACGATCTTTTGTTGTGTACGCTCCCCGGGGTCCCCTTGTCTCATAGGGTCCCTCATATTCCAGATTCACCTTATAGCCCTTGAGTTCATCATTCAACGCAGAGAGTAGAGGATATTTGCCATTTCCACAACGTCCCGTAAAATCATCCATATCAATGGACCACACCATAATGCCACCAAAGCCTTGTTCCTTCAGCCATTCCATCTGATTAGGAGAAACAAAAAAGGATTAGAATATGGCAATGAAATAAAAAAAATTAAAATATCTATTTCTCAAAGCCTGAGAGACCTTTAAAACTTGGTTTTTTAATGATTTTTTCCTTAAGGACCCATAGGTCCTTAAATGCGAACTTTTAAGAAAATTCATCTCAAGGACCAACAAATCTTCAAACGTGGATTTTGAAAGAATTTTTTCTCAAAGACAAAAGGAACAATTAATTGGGACTTTTAATAATATTTTTCTCAAGGACTAACAGGGGTATTTTTTAACGATTTTTTTCTTAAGGACCAACATATCTTTAACCGTCAATTTTAGAGATTTTTTTGTCAATGACCAATATAACATTCGCAAGTCTATAACGTGGATTTGTAAGGATTTTCCTCAACAGGATCAACAGACTTTTAAATGTAGATTTTTTTCTCACCTTTAAAAGTCGATTTTTGTAGATTTTTCTTTTAAACAGTGATTTTTAAATGATTTTTTTCCGCCGAATAGACCTTCAAAAGGATTTTCAGTTTTTTTTTCAAGGACTATTAAAAAATCAAAATAAAAAAATCTTAAGGCCTAACAGACGTTTAATCGTGGATTTTTTAAAAGAATTTTCCTCAAGGACCAATGGACTTGCAAAGACGTATTTTTGAGGACTTTTTCCCAGGACCCTTAAATGTAGATATTTAAAGAATTTTTTTCACAGGGACCTGCAGACTTTTAAAAGTAGATTTTTGAAGATTTTTTTCTCAAGGGTTAACAGACCTTTAAACAAGGATTTTGTAAGATTTTCTCTCAAGGACCCATAGACATTTAAATGTGTATTTTTAAAGAATTTTTTTTGAAGGAACAACAGAGCTTAAGATTTAAGTTTTTTTCTCAAGACCAAATACCTTCAAGTGAGGATTTTTAAGTAAATTTTTTTCTCAAGAACCAAAAGGCCTTTAAAAAGGATTTTAGAATAAAATTCTCAAGGACTAAGGAACTTTTTAATGTGGATTTTAACGGGTTTTTTTATGTTGTCAAGCCAACAGGCTTTTCAACCTGGGTTTCTTTTTAAGGACATAGAGACTTCTAGACGTAGTTTTTTTTTTAAATTTTAATTTTTTTCTGAAGGACCTTTAAATTTTTTTTGAAGAAATATTGAACTCTCAACAGCAATTTTTTTTAAATTGTTTTAAAGGACGTGGTTTTTTAGGACCCTAAAAGTGGTTTTTAAGATCTTCTTTGGACTAAAAATGGATTTTTTCCGGAAAATTGACTTTTATTTGTCTCAAACGTGGACTTTCTAAAAAGATTTTTTGAGATCTTATCCTGAAGGAATATTTGACCCTCAATTGCAATTTTTTAAGAGCCATTTGACCCTAAAAAACGTGTTTTTTGAGCTCTGAACTTCGAAGGACTATTGCACCCCCAAAAGGGGATTTTTGGAACTATTGGACCCTTAGATGAAGAATTTTTACAGACTTTTTCCGGAAGAACTTTTGGACCCTCAGATGAGGATTTTTGAACACTTTTCTCTGAAGGACTATTGAATCCTCTGAACTTCGAAGGACTATTGCACTCCCAAAAGGGGATTTTTAAGACTTTTTTTCTAAAGGCTCTCAAACTGGAATTTTTCGAGATCTTATGCTGAAGGACTATATGGACAACCGTGGATTTTTAAAACTTTTTTTGAAGGATATTTTCTTGAAGAACTATTGGAACCTCAGATGAAGAATTTTTACAGATTTTTTCCTGAAGAACTTTTGGACCTCAGATGACGATTTTTGAACACCTTTCTCTGAAGGGCTATTGAATCCTCTGAACTTCGAAGGACTATTGCTCCCCCAAAGGGGGATTTTTAAGACCTTTTTCTAAAGGCTCTCAAACTTGATTTTTTCGAAATCTTATCCTGAAGGACTATATGACCCTCAACCGTGGATTTTTAAGACTTTCTTTGAAGGACATTTTCTTAAAGAACTATTGGACCCTCAGATGAAGAATTTTTATAGATTTTTTTCCTGAAGAACTTTTGGACCCTCAGATGAGGATTTTTGAACACTTTTCTCTGAAGGACTATTGAATCCTCTGAACTTCGAAGGACTATTGCACCCCCAAAAGAGGATTTTTAAGACTTTTTTCTAAAGGCTCTCAAATTTGAATTTTTCGAGATCTTATGCTGAAGGACTATATGACCCTCAACCGTGGATTTTTAAGACTTTTTTTGAAGGACATTTTCTTGAAGAATCAGACGAAGAATTTTTACAGATTTTTTCCTGAAGAACTTTTTGACCCTTAGATGAGGATTTTTGAACATTTTTCTCTGAAGGGCTATTGAATCCCCAAACGTAGGGTTTTTTGAGACTTTTTCTACAGATTATTGGCGACTCAAATGAACATTTCTTGAGACTTTTTCTAAAGGACTATTGGGACCTCAAATCAGGGTTTCTAAGACGTTTTTCTAATGGATTGTTGAAACCTCAATTTAGATTTATTGACACCTTATTTTGAAGGATATTGGACCCTTAAACGATGATTTTTAAGACTTTTTTGTGAAGCACTATTGAACCCTCAAAAGTGATTTTTTAAAGTTTATATTCTGAAGGACTACTGGTCCCTAAAATGACTTTTTGAAGATTTTTTTCTGGAAAGGATTTGATCTAAAGAGAACTGGGGTCTAAAGCCTTAATTTCGATGTGGCACGTTTTAGACGTATCAAATGATATATATCTGCTCTAGACATATGGTTTAGAGTATAGAAATATTTGGAGGGGTATCTGAGACAACATTATGGAACTTTAGAAAAAAAATGTTAAAGGCCTGCCAGAGGCCATGAAGTGGGATTTCAAAACAGATTTCTGAAAATCTGATTCAAAAAACCTATTTTTTTGAAAAAAAAAAAAAAAATTAGAAGAAATGTCAAACTTACCTTTGTCTTGAGCGAACGTTCATCATCGAAGCCAACCCACTGATCATCGCGGTAGGCAAATGGCACTTGCTGTTCCGAATCCCATACCAAAGTCGTATTATCGGCCGCCAAGAATGTACACACCTCATAGTAACTCAAGAAACCAGATTCATTTGTAAATTTGCCCGAACGACCACCACCCAAGGCTGGTGCGCCAATATCGAATTGTGTGACATTGGCCAATTCAAAGGTTCTACCATAGGTTGGCATACCAATCAATAGCTTCTCTTTGGGAGCACCTTGTTTAACCCATTCACGGGCACTGTAGTCCACGGTCAATTTCTTTTGATAGCCGGTGGCCGATTCCAAGGGGAAGAGAGGTGAGTTATGGCCCACAGTGCGTTCCCATTGACCATGGAAGTCGTAGGTCATGACATTGATGAAATCTAGGTATTTAGAAATTTCCGGTACATCATAGCCGGCGGCAATGGCCTCAAAGGAGGCGGGCACAGCAGCGGTGAGCAGGAGTCTGGGCAATCCTGATGATTTGGCTTCGCCCTCAAAGGCCACACGCAGTTCACGCAGCAGATTTACATAGGCAGCACGATCATCGGAGCCTCGGGGATATTCCCAATCCACGTCGAGACCATTGAATTTGTAGTCACGCAAGAAATCAATGGCTTCGTAAACGAATTGATTCATGCGGAACACATTGGAGGTGAGATCCTTGAAGGGTGTCGAACCAAAAGCCCAGCCACCAATGGCTAGGAGGATTTGCAGATCTGGGTTGGTATCACGCAGGGCAATAATCTCTTCATAGTTGTCGGGATCCTCATCACTGTTTTCGGCCAATTTGTGGTCCTTGAGTGTGGCAAAGGCATAGACAATGTGGGTGCAAAGTTTGGGATCAATGTTGGCGGGAAGGAATTTGCCGGCTCCAGGACGTTTCGAGGACCAGCTGGTAAGGTAGCAGAAGACCTGGGCGGGACGAGCTAGAAATGGGGGAGAGAGGGGTTCTTAAAAATGGGGTTTGAAATAAAAAAATTATCTGGACTTACTGTTCTTTTCCACAGCCAATGCACCAGCCTTGACACGATGCTTCTTGGTGGGTTTGCGTACCTTGGCCAGAATCTCCTCCACATCGATTTTAATGGGTTCGGGTTTCTCAATCTAAAATTCGGACAGGAGGGATTATTTATATCAAATTACGAACATTTTGTTTATTCTCACCTCTTCCAAATCCTCAAAGGTGGCTGCCACTTCGGCCCAATTCACATCCTTGGCATCCTTGCCTCTGGAAATACCCAACAACTCCTCACGCATGGCTCCAATCAGCGGATATTTCACCTGTCCTCCACACACCTCACCCTTGAAATCATCCATATCCACAGTCCAGACCATGGCACCACCATAACCATTATCCTTGATCCATTTCATTTTGTTACGAATCGACCTCTCATCATCGAAACCAACCCATTGGTCGCCATCCACCAAATAGGGCACCTTCATTTCATCATCCCAGACATAGACGGCACCATTCAACAGCATTTCACAGATTTCATAATAGGCCAAGAAACCACTTTCCTTGGTGTAGATACCTTCCTTGCCACCTCCGGTGGCTGGGGCATTAGGGCCATGTTTGGATGTGGAGGCCAAGGTAAAGGAACGGCCATAGGTGGGCATACCAATGACCAATTTCTCTTTGGGGGCACCCATTTTGGCCCACATGGTGGCAGCATTATCCACGGACAATTGTTTCCTCCATTCCGAATCCGAAGAGGGGGCATAGAGCGGGGCATTGTGTCCTGTTTCACGTTCCCATTTGCCATGGAAATCATAGGCCATGACATTGATGAAATCCAAATAACTGGCCACAGCAGGGACATCATAACCACCTCGGATATTGTCAGGACCTACAGGGACGGCAGCAGTCAACAACAAACGTTGTCTCTTCAATTCCTGGGCCTCAGCCTCAAAGGCTTCACGCAATTCCTTCAACAACAAAACAAAGTTTTTCTTATCATCCGAACCCTTGGGGTATTCCCAATCCAAATCGAGGCCATCAAAACCACGTTTGCGCAGGAAAGGTATGGCCGAATAGATAAAGGTTTGGCGGGTATAACGGGTCGAGGACATGTCCTTGAATTTCTGGGTACCAAAGGACCAGCCGCCCAAGGCCAAGAGGATCTAAAAAATCAAAGAAAAAAAATTGAATTTTGTTCTCTTCCAAACCCATCCTCCCTCCCTCTCCGAACTCACCTTCAACTTGGGATTGGCCTTCTTCAGGGTCATAATCCTATCATAGAGTCCCGGCACGGTATCCTTCGTCTCATCATTCGATTCATAGGAACTCAATTTGTTCTTCTTCAACCAACCAAAGGCGAAAATAATGTGGGTGCACAAATCCGCTGGAATATCCTCGGGCACGAATTTACCAATCTTGGGCCGATATTGTGACCAATTGGTATAGTAGCAGACGACCTTTTTGCCCACATCCTCGGCTTTGGCCTTTTTACCCTTCAACGAAGAACCACTTGCCACGAGGCTGGTGGAATCGGCATCGGCACCACCAGCACGTAACTTTGATTTACCGCGCAGGCGTGTGCGCACCGATGTTGAGGGTGCCGGCTCCTGATCGACACGTTTCTGGGCCAATTCTTTGTCGGCATTTTCTAGAGTTTTCTTGGCCGAAACGCGGGTTCTTCGTGTGGAGACTTCAACCGTTTCGGCGGCAGCATCTGTTTCGGGGGCACTGGTGGGTCTTCGTAGTCTTCGGCGAGTTTTGGCTGGAAGAAAGGGGAAGGGAGAAGGGGATTAATTATTAAACTGTGAAAAACGCCAAAAATATTTTCAGGAAACTCCCAACAGATTTTGAAGGGGGAGTCAGAAATAGGGCGTAGTGTATGGGTGTTTCGAACGCTTCCAAAGAAAAGTAATCCAATTTCAGAGGTAAGCTCCACCTCTTTCATGTTATTTTATAAATTTGGATGAAAATTCCTTGGAATCCTTGGACTTTAGATATATAATGTCCTCGACAATATTACGAGGTTTATTTTGATAAAAAGTCCTAACCCTCGAGTGAATCCCTAAAGAGTCAGAGGAAAGCTCCACCTCTTTCATGTTATTTTATAAATTTGGATGAAGATTCCTCTGAATCCTGGGACTTTAGATATATAATGTCCTCGACAATATTACGAGGTTTATTTTGATAAAAAGTCCTAACCTTCAAGCGAGTCCATAAAGAGGTATTTTTGGATATTTTCACCCAAATTATAGCAAAATACGCCCTTCGAATAAAGATTCCCTGGAACCCCTTCATTTGAGGTCTTTGGCAATATTACTGATAATCGTACGAAGATTATTTTCTCAACCATGTTAACCCTCAAACGAGTCGTCAAAGAGGTCTTTTTGATCCTTTTCTCAAAAAATTGCCAAAAACTCCACTTAAACGGGGTAGTGGCAAGTCAAAATGTTCTACAAAATTATTTGTCATAAAATTCTACTATGGGTCCCAGAAGGCACCAAAAGTCTAAGTCTTACCTAAACGTCAGGAAGTCATATAAAGTAAAAACTCATTTTAGGGTTAAAAACAGCACTTCATGAGAATTTATGCCAAATTCTCCTATAAAACATCATTTTAGAAGAAGGATCTGAGAGGGAATTATTTTCCTCATCAAAAAATTATTTGTCATAAAATTCTACCAAGGGTCCCAGAAGACATCAAAAGCCTAAATCTTACCTAAACGTCAGGAAGTCATATAAAGTTAAAACTCATTTTAGGGTTAAAAACAGCACTCCATGAAAGTTTATGCCAAATTCTCCTATAAAACATCATTTTAGACGAATGATTTTAGAGAAAATAATTTTCCTCATCAAATTTCGCTATGGGTCACCGAAGATAAGAAATCTGTATTTTCATTATATATCAAGAAAATATTCGCAGTTATGTTTGCTAAAAAAAGAAAAAATACCGGGTGAGATTAAAAAACTGCCATCAATTTCAGACTGCTGTCATTTCTAAGCCACTTGTCCGATAGCTTTAAAAATTATTCCAGTGACAGCTCATTATATTGTTTACAAGCGTACAAAAGTTCCAGAAAAAAAGTTATTCGTGATGGAATTCAAGCGTGATAGTGTGATTTCTTTATATCTGGCTGGAAAGCCACCAACCAAGTGGCTATCGTTAGAGCACTATAGCATTTAAATGTGAATAAATCTTTTGTGTATCATTGTGGATCTTGTACTACGAACTTTGCTGGCACACTCTGGGTGCATTCCTGTGATGACGTATCCATATCGAAAGCCGTTTCCATAGCTGTAAAAATCTGAGCCCTATTTTTCACAATATAAATAAAAAATAATCCAATATTGCGTTTAAGAAATGGAATAACATAGTGCCATAATCTCTCATATTAAATTCGAAATATTACTTATGTCCTTCAGTGGTGATCGGTATTCTGGTACGGCGAGAGTCAATAATCTATATTTGTTTCCAGATTTTACAACATGCTCCATATTGAAGTCGTTCGAACACACCTGCAATGTGGGTGTTAATATCACTCTGGGTGTTAACTTTGCTCTGCGGTATTTTGTCCCATTCCCGGCGAAGTGCTTGCTTGAGGTAATCGATACTTTGGCGTATTTTAGTGCCAACCTTGCTTTGAAAAATACTCCAGATACAATAATCCAACAGATTGGTATCCGGAGATTTTGGTGCCAATTGTGCGCTGGAATATTTTCGCGATAATATTCGACATTTATTCTGATGCCACGGTCGATCAATAAGTTTAGATTTGTCCGAATTGGTCAATTTGGTGCGAATTATGGACTTCAAACGGCCAATGAAACACCCGTAACACGCTTCCCGAATGTTGCTCTGCGGTATTTTGGCCCATCCCCGACGAAGCGCTTGATTGAGGTGATCGACACTTTGGTATTTTTTAGTGCCAACCTTGCTTTCCAAAATACTCCCGACACAATAGTCCAACGGATTGATATCCGGAGATATTGGTGGTAACCATTCTTGGGTGGCTGAGTCCAAGGCTTTAATACACCCTCCAGAATATTTTCGCGATAATATTCAGCATTCTTTCTGATGCCAGGGTCAATTAATACGGGCGGAGAGCGACCATCGGCTGTTATGGCGGCCCACACCATTACCATGCCCGGCGCTTGAGTTCTGGTGGCCAACCGAAGGTGCACATTTTCAGCTGACCTCTTTGGCAAGTAAACACGATCATTTGTTCGTTTGTTTACAAACTGCTGAACAACGAATGTTTTCTCATCGAAGACGGAGAAACCCAAATTCGGCAGTTCACCACTTTCGGCCAAGCGAAGCAAATCTTTAGCTGTTTTGGGTCTATTTTCTTTCCGTGGCGGTGTAAGTTCTTGAACTTTTTGGAATTTCAATGGCTTTACCCCGAGCTCATTTTTCAATATTTATTCCGAATGGAATATTGCGATATGTTCAGGTTTCGAACCATTTCTGCTGATGTTGCTGTTTTCTTCCGTCCACTTTCTTGACGTCGGGCTACGCTACCCGCTATCAGTATCACGGTAACGAGCGTCGATGGTACGAGACACAAACGATTTATTCACATTTGAATGCTGGAGTGCTCTAACGATGGCCACTTGTGGTTTTCCAGCCAAATATAAAGACATCACACTATCCCGCTTGAATTCCATCACGAATAACTTTTTTTCTGGAAAATTCTCAGCAAAATGCTTTTGTCCGCTTGTAAACAATATAATGAGCTGTCACTGGAATAATTTTAACAGCTGTCGGACGAGTGGCTTTGAAATGACAGCACGGCTGAAGTTGGTTGCAGTTTTTTTGCTTCTCACCCTGTATGTTTTTCGTTTTCTTTTTTTACAGCAAATTTAAAATGGCCAAACAAATATTTTCGTATAACAGTAAAAATCATGTTTTGTCGTTTGTTTTTTGATGCGGCGAATTCAAATTTAATTGACAGATCGTTTTGATCGCTGGAATAGGGGGACCTTATACTTGGATCATGGGAGGAACTGTACATCAAATTATTTAAAATCGAAATCGATTTGAGTCGAGTTCGGTTTAAAAAAAATCAAAATCGAAACTCGGGTCGTAGCTGATCGGACAAATCTGAAAGATCGAAAAAATTTTTTTTTGTTGTAGGAAAGGAATGGAAAAGTCTGCTAGTAGACTTCTGACTATGATTGAATGTCACTATTTTTTTTTTTTGTTGTAGAAAAAATATGGAAAAGTCTGCTGGTAGACTTTTGACTTTACTTAAATGTCCCTAATTGGAAGAGGAAGATGATTGTGGAATTGTGGAGAGATCTGGTCTGCATATCATCAATTTCTGGCTGATATTTCTTAGATTTTTTAGATTTAAATTTGAAAAATTCCAATAACCTCTTTTACACCTCGCAATAAAAATTCTTCTTTTGCACACACATTTCCCATATTTCCATTTGACATAAAAAAATTTCCAACCAGTTCTTAAACCATTAAAGTGTGGTGATATATTCCGGCAATGCGGTTTCCTATAATGTGGAAAAATAATGATGTGGGCTAGAAAAACAAAACAAGTTAGCATTTGCTTGACGGCAAATGCCATGCATATTTTTTTTGCCTAGTCTTGAACCGGATATTTTTTTTTTTTTTTTGGGTAGAACAACATTATTTTTCTACACCCGGTGTATAGTTGACGCTGGTTGGTAAGTTGGTTGGCCAATGCGGAAATCAAGTCATGGCTAAACCGGCTGTGTAACTAACTTTAGAACTTTCACTTTTTGCAGTTGCTCTCTTAAAACCATATTCACTTACCTTGTGCACTGTCGGTGGCTTGGGATAGTAGAACGATTATGAGGCATACGGCAAATAATAATTTCAATATTCGAGGAGGAAACTGGAAAGAAAAATAAAGAGGGGAAACATTTTTTAATTAGATTTCAAAGGTCACAAAAATGGGGGGAATGAGAGGTTGTAATAAAAATATAAAAAAAATCAAAACCTTTTAAATTAAAAGAAAAATTAAAAGGTTTCTAACATAACCTCAAAGCCCTCGATTTTTTTAAGAAACCTTAAAACAATGATTCATGTTCGTCGGGGTCTTTTTTTAATTATGTTTTACAAGAGGTTAACATATTAACCCCTTGTAAATCATATCAATCATCCGGCAGCAAAAAAGATGGCTAGTCATTTCCATTTTGATTGTTGACGAACTAACTTTTGCCACTTTTGACTGTTTTTTTTCAGCCACCGACTTGAATTTTTATTTTATGGCATATCATGGCATTGACCCAGTTCACCACCAAGTCGGCTCATTATAGCTTGAGCTGAAGCACAAAAATCAACAAATTTGTTGTTAACAATAACATTTAATAATCAAGCACTAAACAAATAGCTTAAGCTGAAATTATCATCATCATCAGCTTGGCGTGTGTTTTGTTTTCGTTATTTTTTGTCTTGGCTGTTTGTTTATCCAAAATCGAAAAAATAAAAAACCGAAACGAAACATAAACACTTGAGAAAATTTGTTCGACAGCCGCTCAAATGAAAAAAGAAACGAAACTAATTAAATATTAATTTCAAAGAAGTCATTCAAAATCAGAGCATTGTAATTAGTTAACGATTAATTGTGGAGTGTGAACTGCCCTAATGTTGGTCAGCTGTTGAATTGGGTTAAGTAGATCAGCTGACTAAAGGCTACTGTTTTAAGAATTGCTATAGAAAGGTTGTTACAGAAATTTGATTGAGAAAAACAAAATCCAGGATTAAGTGCCGTTATTTGTGCTTTTAAGGATAAGGATTTTGAATATTAAGGAGTTCAGATGGACAAACTCAGAAAAATAAGATTTATGCTAAGTAAAGATATAAGGAACTATTGTTGGCCGTAAGGTATTGAAATATTTTTTAACGATTGGATGGAAAACATACTGAATAAGGCTTCAGATGGAGGAGTTGGCAGAAGCAAGAATATTTTTCTTTCACCTACGATTTTGACATTAACAGGCAATGATTTTGGATATTGAGTTCAAATGGAAAAACTTCTAAAAATAAGATTTATGCTAAGTAAAGATATAAGGAACTATTTTTGGCAGTAAGTTATTGAAATATTGTTTAATGATTGGATGGAAACATACAGAATAAGGCTTCAGAAAGAAGAGTATGCAGAAGCAAGGGCAGTTTCCTTTCACCTACGATTTTGACATTGACAGACAATTATTTTGGATATTGAGTTCAAATGGACAAACTTCGAAAAATAAGATTTATGCTAAGTAATATGTTGGACGTAAGGTATTGAAATATTGTTTTATGATAGGATGGTTGGGGTCTGAGTGGACCATAGCGCTTTAAAATCTCTTTCTTTTAGGCGAATAAAAAATTATATCGACCAAATAGCGTACATAAGAACCTGTAATCATTTAAGGGAAGTTCAAATCGAAAGGAGGCAGAAAATGAAAAGCTCGTTGAACTTTCAATCTCCATTCAGTCTTTAGGGGAAAGACCTTTCTCAGACTCCAAATGTGACTGGCACAAGAGAGAAGAAGACCAGTGGGGTAAGTGTTGTAGGACATTGCAATACTCGTTAAAGGGCGACCTTTTGCGGACTGAATGAGTGCAATAATATAATCCTGTAACAACGTCCTTCCGTACGTAAAGGAAATTTGGATTCATAGTCTGCTCAATAAACAGAGGACACACAAATCCTCGAGATGTGTTGATAACAGCGGTGCTGAGAGTATCACTTGCATATCCAAGAGAAACAGCGGTGCTGAGAGTATCACTTGCATATCCAAGAGAAACAGGACCAGCTGTACAAAAAATTATCTATTGGATTGGTGGCAGAAGGACGATTGAAACTATTTGAAGAAAAACGTAGCCAATATAAAGCCTAAGAACTCGCACAAATAAAAGTCGAGACACTTGAGTATTGGTAGATGTGCTGGGGCCGAGATGCATGTGGTTGTGATGGACAGCAAAGCTCATTTCAAAAATATAACAGCATGGGTATATTACGAACTGCCAGTTAAATGTCCGATATACTCTCAATGCAGGGGCTTCAGAAAGATTTTTAACCAGACCTCCGAAAAACTCTCTCGAATTTGTTCAAAGAGTGATACTCACTCGAATTCGAAAATATGCGCTTCAGGGAGCAGAAAAATCGAGCAAACTCTTGCTCTAGAGCGATTCTCTCCTAACTCTAATTTATACAACAGGAATAAGTCGGGATTGCTCCCACAAAAAAAAGAGTAAAGAGTAGACTCCGTAAAACACCTCCCATCTTTCGAGCAATCTTTCTCGCGAGCAAGTTTTGGTCCCAAGCAGCAAGAAAGCCAGTGGAGAAGCCTATCCCTGGTCATTTTATCATTAGTTTAATTTTTGTATTTAATTTTTGCTTACTTCGTTATTTTGTCTTCTCTCTCATAAATAAAAGGGAAATTGAAGAATATCTATCTGTTCAATAAACTGGTTTTCTAAATAGCCGGAGAAGCCTAAGTCCTGCTAGTATTGTTATTAATTTCAATACATTTTTTTTAAATTTTAAGTTTTATTTAATTTCAATTTTTTTCCTCATTCTCTCTCTCTCCAAATAATCACCATAATTACTTGCCTCTGACATAAACTAATGTTCCTGTCCGAAAAAAAATCCGGTTTGCTTGCTTCTCGATCTTTGATTAATTTCAAGTTGAAATTAAAATTTTGTCTCTTTATGTTAATTAGAGAACAAATCTACATATGTTGACATTTATCTAAGCGTTTGAAAATGTCTTCTAGCCAATGTGTTGTATCATTTGTTAACAGAATCTTCATTATAAAGTAGTGTTTTTTATTGGCAGACACTAAGAATAATTTTGTTTGCAATTTTATTTTGTTGTCTACTTTTTGAGACATTTACTTAGAGAGAAGAGTAATGAGAAAAATAAAGAGAGATATTTGTTTAAAAATGGGAAAAGTAATTCTCCTTTTTGTACTACGTAACATAGATACTCTCCTGGCTAAAATCGTTCACCTTTTTGTAAAAGCAGACATGGATGGAACATATATCACAATTGATTATTATCGTGGCAAAAATGGTAGAATCAGAAGAAAACTGGACTGTAATATCTAAATTCTATGAACTGAAACAAAAAAATAAAAAAAAAATCTCAGACGTCAATGTCGTTGAAAAATGGCAGGATCCGAAGAAAATTGAACTGTAATATCTAGATTCTGTGAGAAATTGTTAAAAATCAAAACTTAGATAATCCTTTAAGACCTCGAAATAAATAGTGGTGCTTGGATGCATGGTAGAATGCAATGCTTGGATTCAAGGAAGGCCTGGGAGCCACCTCGAAGTAATACGAAAGTGCGGTAATAATTTTCGGACATGGGTGTACCCTGAAGTATTTGTTTGAAAGAGCTAAAAAATATTATCCTTTTTGCCTGTCGATGGCGCAGACCATATTCTTTCTTCACATTTAAAAGCTAATTAGAACTCAGATTGGAAATAGAAAAACAAACAAGCGCTATCTAAGCCGTTGCAAAAATGGTAGCATCAGAAGAAAACTGGACAATAATATCAAGATTCTGTGAGCAATTGTTATAGATTAAAAATAGGGACTTAGTCTACTCTTCGAAACAAATCTTAAGAAGTGGAAGGCCTAAGTAGAGCCATCTCGAAGTAATACTGAAGTGCTAACAATGTGGTTACAAACGTGGATTTTCTAAAAACATTTTTTGAAGACTAAAATAATAGTGGATTTTCTAAAAATATTTTTTGAAGATTAAAATAAGCGTGAATTTTGTAAAGATATTTTTTTAAGATTAAAATAAGCAAGGATTTTGTAAAGATATTTTTTTTTTAAGATTAAAATTAGCGTGGATTTTTTTAAAATTAATTTTTTGATTAAAGTAAACGTGGATTTTTTAAAAATAATTTTTTTGAAAACCAAAATAAACGTGAAATATTTAAAAATATTTTTTTTTAAATTGAAAAAAGGTGGATTTTTTAAAAATAACATTTTGAAGATTAAAGTAAGCTTATTTTTTTTAAATTATTTTTTTGAGGATTAAAATAATCGTGGATCTTTTAAAAATTATTTTTTTTTTGAAAATTAAAATAAGCGTTAATTTTTTAAAAAAAAATTTTGAAGGGTAAAAAATGCTTGGATTTTCTAAAAATATTTTGGATTTTGTAAAGATATTTTTTTAAGATTACAATTAGCGTGGATTTTTTTAAAATTAATTTTTTGATTAAACTAAACGAGGAATTTTTAAAAATATTTTTTTGAAGTCCAAAACAAACGTGGAATTTTTAAAAATATTTTTTTGAAGTCCAAAACAAACGTGGAATTTTTAAAAGTATTTGTTTGAAGTCCAAAACAAACGTGGAATTTTTAAAAATATTTTTTTGAAGTCCAAAACAAACGTGGAATTTTTAAAAATATTTTTTTGAAGTCCAAAACAAACGTGGAATTTTTAAAAGTATTTTATTAGGTTTAAAATGAGGTTGGATTTTTTTTAAAAATAATAATTTGAAGATTAAAATAAGCTAAGATTTTTTAAAAATTATTTTTTTAAAAATTAAAATAATCGTTAATTTTTTAAAAGCTATTTTTTGACAGTTATAAAAAGCGTGGATTTTTTTAATTATTTTTTTTTTAAGATTGAAATGACCATTTTAAAAATTATTATTATTTTTTTTTTTTTTTTTTTTGAAAATTACAGTAAGCGTTATTTTTTTTAAGATTAAAATAAGTGTTAATTTTTTAAAAATTATTTTTTTTGACAATTAAAAAACGTGGATTTTTTAAAATTATTTTTTTAAGATTAAAATAAGCGTGGATTTTTTTTAAATTATTTTTTTAAGATTAAAATAAGCGTGGATTTTTTAAAATTATTTTTTTTAAGATTAAAATAAGT